GCAGGCCACCGAGGTAGGAAGGCTTGATTCCAGGCCCTGGAGGTCAAGCCAAGTCAAGACGGCCAATATAGTGAGCCTCACGAGTTAGGGGAGTTTCCCAGTGTCCTTCAAAGTGTCCTTGACACCAGACTGTTGTGTGGGAAGCTTGCCACAGCATGATGGGCAGAGGGTGAAACCTTGTGAGCACAGCCAGCACCGGGCACACAGGCAGGAGGCCGGCACGGGTAGTTGGGGGAAGCACCGACAGGCTTGCTCAAAGCAGCTCTGTCGTGAGCCTTTGCTTCTCAAAGGGCGGACTGTGACACGCAATGCGAGGAACTCTCCCTCCAAGGAGGTGGGAATGCTTCCCCCCCGAGAGAACAAACCCAAACGGGGATGTGTCCTCTCCACGGTTCCGTAGCAGCAAACCCGGTGACGGGACCCCGTCCACCGTCAGATGACCAATAGAGAAATGGCGGTCCCCCGTACCACAGACGACTCAGGCAGAGAAAGAAAGGAGGTCCTGGGACAGGCGACGTGGCCCGGATGAACCTGGAAAAGCTGATGCCGGGGAATGAAGGAGATCCTCGGACCCGTTTGTACGAAGAAATTGAAAGTGCCCAGGCCTGCCAGAAGGACAAACAGATCTGTCGGGTGAAGGACAGCCGGGGTGCTTCTGACAGGCAAGGATGGCAAGACCTGAGCCAGTCCCTGGAGGAGCTCATGCTTGGTGAAGTAAAACAAGGACCATAAAAAACTGCCATCAAGCCCATACCTGCTCATAGCGACCCCCTAGCACAGGACAGAACTCTTACTGTGCGTTTCCAAGGCCGTAACTCTTTGCAGGAGTAGAAAGCCCCATCTCTCTCCCTCAGACTTGGCTGGGGTTTCAAACCGCTGACCTTGGGGTTAGCATGCATAACCACTAGAGGGGCAGCGAAAAAGGCGGCGGCCCTGAGCAAAACGGGTCGGCACAGAGGCTGCAACAATGGGCTCAGACAGGGTACTGACTGTGAGGATGGTGCCGGACCAGGCAGCGCATAGGGTTCCTAGTGGGCAGAGCAGACCCGGCGGCACGGAAGGTTGGTGGTGCCGCTGAAGAAAGGCCTGTCTGCCTGCTTCCATGAAGATCGCGGCCAAGAGAAGGGCGTGGGTCTCAGTGCTATCTAGCAAGTCGCCAGGAGCTGGAACCCACTCGCTGCAATGGATTTGCTGGGGGTTTTCTTGTGATGATTCCGGTTTAACTGAGGAAGATCGCCTGGTGTTACTGGGAGCCCTGGTGGTGTAGCCGTTAGGAGCTGGGCTGCTAACCACAAGGTCAGCAGTTCGAAACCACCCGCTACTCCTGGAGAGAACGCAGCAGCTTTCCACTCCCATAAAGAGGTACAGTCTCAGAAACCCGCAGGGGCAGTTCTACCCTGTCCTGTTGACTGGATGATGGCCTTGTGTTTGGGATTTTTGACTTGTTTTTCAAGGCTTTGCGGGGTGGCCCGCCAGGGACACCGTGGGGCCGAGCAGGGGGCCAGGGGGCCTTTGAGAGGGTCTGGAAGTCAGTGTTGCCCTCTGCCGCCGCCCCATCCCAGTCGCTTTGTAAAGGCGGGGTCCTCGGCCTGCAGATCGGGCGTGGCTCTGCCAGATGACACGCAGCGGGGAAATGGAGGGCAGAGCGCAGGCGCGGGGCTGGGCCAGGAGGGGTCCGCCCCGCTGCGACCGCACCCGGGTCCCTTCTGCCCGCCCGTACGCACGCGCAGGAGGAGCGGCGGCGCAGCCGCACTGCGCACGCGCAGGAGACTCCGCTTCCTGCGAGCGACGATCCGGCTATCCGCGGTTTCGGCCTCGCCGGGAACTCTGTTTATAAACACACCGCGCGGCCTCCTGCGAGGGGCAACTCTAGAAGCAGTGGGGTCGGAGGTCAGGGGTCAGCGATCGCGGAGTCGCGGGTGCCTAGGTCGACTCGCCACCCTTGCGGGCTGCTGAGCCCACGGAGTGCGGGCCCGGGGCCCCACAGGTGCCCGGGCGGACAGGGGCGCCACGTGGTGCGCACGTGGTCTACTGCCGGCGCGGCGCGCTCCCCTCCCCCACGGCCGCGCCGCAGCGCCCCCTGGCGGCGCCCGAGCGCCGCGCCTGCGCATTCGGTGCCTTCCGGTTCCGCAGGGTCCGCCCGTGGCTCCTGGGCTTCCTCCGTGGGAAGCGGGCCGTCGCCGTGCGGGGCAGCGGGAGGTCCCGGGCGGTGATGCTACCTGTGTCGGGTCACAGGTGCCAGTCTCCTTGGGGAGGTTGTCTTTGAGCCGACGGGATGCGGGATGACCGAAGTAAAACAATCCCCGCACTCCAGCTCAAAAAGGACACAAAAGCGAACGCTTAGCACTTTGGGTGGCGCCATGTGTTAAGCAAAACGGCCCCATGGGGTTCTCCTTGGCTTTAGAGAGAGGTGCCGAAGGTCGGCAGTTTGAACCCACCAGGGGAAAGATGCGCAGCCTTGGAAACCCTCTGGGGGCAGTTCTGCCGTCTTACAGGGTCGCTAAGTGTCAGGACTGACCACCACAGTAGGTTGGCTGGGGGTTCCACTTTAAGGCCGCAGAGGGCCAGGCCTGTCTCCAGTGCTGCCACCGAGTGAGTTTGAAACCGCGACCTTATAAGTTCCTGCTAGGGGCCGTCCAATGGACTCCATGGTGACCCCAGACCCCACAGAGTCGAACTGCCTCATAGGCTTTCTTGGCTGTAGTCTTTGCAAAAGAGGAGCCCTCGTGGTCAAGTGGTGACACATTGGGCTACAATTCACAAGGTCAGTAGTTTGAAACCACCAGCCGTTCCATGGGAGAAAGATGAGACTTTCTACTCCGGGAAAGAGTTACAGCCTCAGAAACCCACAGAGACAGTTCTACCCTGCCTCTAGGGTCGCATGAGTCAACGTCGACCCCATGGCCGTGGGTTTTAAGAATCTTTACAAAACTAGATTGCCAGTCCTTTCTGTGGGGTCTAGACTAGAAGCTTTTAGGAGGTTAATCACTAAGAGCCAACTACTTTCACCAGGCAGGGACCTCATCCCATTTCGCTGGGGCTAAATGCAGGCAACTTTGAGCCCTGGTGGTGGTGTGGGTTATTCCTTGGGTTACTAAGCACAAGGTCATCGGTTTGAACCCATCAGCTGGGGAAAGATGAGCCTTTCTGCTCTTGTCAAGATTCAGTCTCAGAAACCCATGGGGGCAGTTCTGCTCTGTCCTATAGGCTCCCTATAGAATCCACTTGGTGGCCATGAATTTGGTTTTAGGTTGTCTGTATGGGAACATCCCTGAGTGTCCATAAAACGCGTCTCCAGAAACCCTATCTTCTTCCTAATCTGCTCTTTCTGTAACTCGGAGCGATTGGGCTTGAGACACACCCTACCCTGATTCCAGCCCATGGACCAAAACATATTCCCAAATGGAATCCCATCCACAGAGAGTAGGATTCCAACACCTATTTTCTCCCCTGCCAGTGAATCTTCCCGAATTCCCAGAACTCTGTGGAGCCGAGTGGCACTGCCCCACCAAGGAGGTCCACAGGTGGGGCCACAGGTGGCCTCAGAGCACCAGCCCAGGCCTGTGGCGCGTGCTCCTATAGGAAGGAGCCAAGGCTTTCCAGTCCCCAAGCCCAGCAGCCCTTTGGGAGAGGACAGGATGGTCCCTAGCGTTTCTGACGCCGGGCATCTCCTGCAAGGCACACGGTCCTGCCCCAAACCAGGACTGGCCGGCAGTGTGGCCATCTTTAGGGACCAGGTTATCTCAGCTTTGTGAAGAGAACCTCAGAGCCGCTGGTGGGTTTGGTGAAACTGCCCCTCTCTGGTTAGCGCTGAGTGTTAGCCCAGGGAGCCATGAGGCAAAGCCAGGCAGACCCACTTGCTGGGGAGAGGGGCAGGGGGTGTCCATCACACGCCATGCGCACAGCCGTAGGGTGGAAAGGGCGGGGTGGAACTGCCCCACGTGGCTTCTGTGGCTGTAACTATAGAAGCACGTGGCCTTGTCTTTCTCCCATGGAATCGCAGAGCTTGCATTCGCAGTCAAATACTTGCCCACTGTGCCACCAGGGCCCCCTGATTGAGGGCCAGGCCTCCATAAACTGAATCCTCTCCCCCTGCTCCGTAGTGATGGGAGGAACTGTGGCTCCCAAAGACATGTGGAAGCCCCACACACACTGCCCTGATACCTAAATATCACCCTGTTTGGAAATGCGTTTTCTTTCATTAGGTTCCAGGAGCCCTGGTGGTATAGTGGGCCACACGATGGGCTGCTAACTGCAAGGTCAGCAGTTTGAAACCATCAGCCACCCCAAGGTAGGAAGATGAGGATTTCTACTCCCATCAAGGTTGTAGACTGGCGCAAATGGGGTGATTCTACTCTGTCTGTGAGGAGGAGTTGACTTGGTGGTAGTGAGCTTGTTTGGGTGTTGGTTGTTACTGTTTGGCCTCTGGGGAGTGGGAACGGTTTGTGTTCAAGCCCACTCCGCAGCCCCGCAGCAGGAGGAAGCACATTGTTGTCAAGAACTGTCAAGTCGGCTGGACTCACCAGTGAGTCCGCACAACACAACAACACGCCACCCTGTCCCGCCCACTGCTGCAGCCACAGTGTCTGCTCATCCCCTTGAGGACCTTTCTTCTGGGCCGTGGTCCCTCTGCCGTCAGGCTGACAGCCTCGAAAGCCCGGTGGAGCAGTTCTGCTCTGCGACAGGCAAGGCTGTCGTATTAAAATGGTTTGTGGGAGTGGGGTGCCAGCCCCAACTGCTACTAGAAC